CATTGATTTCAAGATTGTGGACTGTCTGCCATTTGATCATCATAGTGCATGCCATGGCAGGAGAGAACATATGACTAATGAGTACACTTAGTGATATAAATATTCAAGAAGGCTATGCCATGTATGGACCCAAACTGTCAAGAATGTGCTTTGACAAAACTGTAGAAATATCCTTAGCCCAACACACCCATATATTTACATTACTATATATACTGACTAAAAAGTAAGTTCTGACAGACTATTTCCAGGTAATAGGTGGTGATAAGGGTTTCCGTTGAAGAATAATATCAAACCTCATAAAACTGTCCCAAATATGTCTAACCATATATAAATAAATCACAAAATCAACACCATTACAGAAATTGTAGAAAATATCAACAAATATTAAACTAAATTTTACTTTAATGTTCAGTGGATAAAAGTTGCAGTTATTGTATTTTTGAACTTTATTTTATTATGTAGAAGATGTTAATCTTGACTCAGTTTGAGAGAACCCAACATGCAGTGAAATGAATCACAGACAAGAGTCAGGGTAAAAGATGAATAGGAGGAAAGGCATACAAATGGAATCCTGTCCAGTCTTGACTGGAAGCATCTATTACCAGAGCTTGTGGATGTGGAATAGGAGACCAGAACTGTACACTAGCATTGCAATGGGTTACAAAGGTATTGATCATTGGGGAGCCAAACTGAGAATTAATCCACTGAAAGACAATAGTAAGGCTTGTCAACTGAATTGGCCTAAGTGGACTTTTGACAAGAAGAGAATTGTATAGTGCTTAAGATACAACTATGATCTCCATAGTGTTAAAACTTTTGTATATACGTATAATTTGTTTTGAATACATATTATTATAAAAACAAGTAGTGTGTGTGCTGTTCATTTATTGTCAAATTTATGCCAACAAGTCACAGACATCTTTGTCAGCACCTTTTTGGCCTGCTCAGACATGGTTTCCTCTTCAGTTGCTCCAGGAATGTTTACCACTACCTCTTCATTCATTTTTGTTGAGACAACCTCAGTCCAACATTCAACACCTGGACATTTAACGACTCCAGCTTCATGCATGGAAGCTATGCAGTCCTTTGCCCTACTATAGGGGTTTAAATTCTACAGTTTCCGTAAATTTGACTATATCCTCCATCAACCTACTATGGCAATCTAATGATGGAATGGACTACATATTATCGGTGGTGTCTTTGGTGAGCATTCAACTCGCTTCATCCAGCAGTTTCCATAATTTCAAGTTTTTTACCTGGATTTTTGAAAGGTTTGGCTTCTACCTTGCATTACATACAACATCCTTTGCTGCTCCCTTTCGCTTTTCTATGTATACAAAGGTTTTTACTCCCTTACTATCTCATTTCCTGATCCTTTCAATTTCTTCATCCCAAACGACCATTTCAATTGCCTAATTGTGACTTTAGAGTTGTTTTTTCATTCGTTATCACTTTATTCTTTCAAACCTATGGCCCCCTGTTCTTTGTACCACCTTTTCCTTGAGGTATATTTCTATTGTTGTTAGCTTCTGGATGCAGCTGTTCTGATTTATTTGCCATCCCTGTTCAGCAAACACTATCCTTCCGCCTATTTTTTGCTCTATCCAGACAGATCCTTCCTATTGAACAAACTCGCTGTCAGAGAAGGGAATAAATTCTTTTTCCTTTTCTTTTCCCAGGCATTTCTCATCTTTACAATCCACCATACCCAGATCTTTTGTGTCCAGTCGGAGCACTTTGTTCTGTGGCTTGTATAGAACTGTTCAGGGACCCTGTGCACCAGGTTTTTTATTTAGTGGGATCCTGCAGTGTCCCTGGATTTATCACCCATTACTTTAACCAGGGGACCTTGGGTGTTGATTCCTATAGCCTGTTTGAGGTTATCTGTTGTAGAGTGGAATATACTTCACATCACTTCTCACCAGATTTGGCATCTACCAATGTCATTATCCTCTTGTCTGAACATTTCTCTGAAGAATATTTTGTGCCCCAGTATGTGGACTTCTCCCAACACTTTATCTCATTACCATCATGATCTGGCAGTTTCCTCAAAAATTCAAAAAATAGTTCCCCTTATTAATATTTCCCCATGGCTATGTTGACTACCTCTGCTAGATTTTAACAAGGGGGGTGTGTAACTTTCTTACCTGATCAACAGTTTTCTTTTTTCTTCTGGGGTCCCTCTTTATTTCCTTCGGATCCCACTCAGTGATGAATGTTGGCCAGTCAGGTGTGCTTGTATTTTTTTCAATTCTGCACTAGCAACCTTTATATCGGTTCATGGTTGCAACAGGCTCTGTTGAGATAAGGTGTTCCATAAGACCATCTAGATGCAATTCTGGATGGTAGCAAATATAATGGATCGCTACTCATGGACTATCATGGACTATAAAGCTAAAGGGGAATTTGCCAGTCCCTGCTGATCTTAGAGCTGAATCAGTCAAGATCGGTTTGCTTTTAAAACTTAGGGAATGTGGTTCACCTGTTGCACTGTCTCCGGAGACCTGTTCCTCAGGACTCCCCACTGCATACATGTCCCCTACTGCTTCTAGTGGAGCTTAGGAGTCCTTACCACACACCCAGTACCCAGTCACTGGGGTGGTAGACAGAGGATCTTCCTTTGGAATGTTGAGTTTTCCCCACTCTTGGAGAAGAGGGCAAAGTTGGGGACCCTTTACCTGGGTCTCTGGAAGTTTATCCAGATGTCGGTAGGAGCAGGACCATCCTACACAGGAGCCTACTCGTAAAACTGGTCCAGATTTGACACTTAGCTATACGGTGGGGGTGTGCTTGGCCCCTCTTGTGAACACTGTTGGGTCTTAGGTTGTTCATGCAGGGGGTCCACTATCTCCTCGTAAATCTGAATACAACATGGTCCCATCTTAGGGAGTAAGTGGAATTTTCCTTGCCCACTTGGCTGTGGAGTGAAACTAACTTTGTAAATTTAGACCAGATGAGTTCTGGACCTTGGGTGGAGTATGGGATATTTGATCCCATTAATCCAAGCCTGGGATGTTGCCTTTAGGACTTCTTCAGGTTGATCAGAAAGATTGTCCACTTTGATGTTGCTTTCTTTCCCTCGTAAATCTGGTTGTTTCGAAATGCATCATTCCATGGCTGCTGGTGGGGATCCTATCACAAAGATGTGTATATATTTGCGGTCCAACTGCTTTTGCCACCAATAAGGGATATGGGTACCATGACCTCTTAAACCCAGCCCCTGAGTTGTCGAACCTTGGCTGCGTGGTTGGGGCTGGCCCATCATACTTGTAATATTGCACCCTTTTCACTTTTTTGTAGTTCTGGATGTAGAGCATACCTGTTCTGGATGTAATGTGTTTTTTCCTGCTTGGGTACCACCTCTCATGGTACACCTTTGTTCTATGCAGATGCTTTCTGTATGAACCATGCCCTCACCGGCCCCTCCGCCTTCTTAATATGGGATTCTAGCTATAAGTGTCAGCGGAGGTATGTATGTTTGGAAGTTATCATTTTCCTAATCTGAAAATGTATTTCCAAGCATACTTACCTTCACTGACGCTCTCCCTCCCTTCCTCCCCACTAAGAGCTGGTGTTATTGACTGGAATGGGGTAAGTCTCAAAAAAGTGATTATATTGTCGACATACAGTGCTTATGTACAGTATCTGCATAGAGTGCATGTGATGGCCGTGTAAAGCTTTGCAAATCAGATATTGCCGAGGGCAGTCAAGTGGTGTATAAAGACTGGAGCAAGAGAACACGATGTTTAGATGGCAAAGATGAAGATTGAGAAATAGCTATAAGTGTTAGTAGTGGTAAGTATGTTTGGAAATACATTTTCAGATTAGGAAAATGATAGCTTCTGTGTGCTATTATTGACATTTCACTTGCAAGCAGGTCTCGATGCTATTATTGACATTTCACTTGCGAGCAGGTCTAGGTGCTATTATTGACATTTTACTTGCAAGCAGGTCTCGATGCTATTATTGACATTTTACTTGCAAGCAGGTCTCGATGCTATTATTGACATTTTACTTGCGAGCAAGTCTAGATACTTATTTTTTACACTTGATAATACTGATTTTATGCAAATAATTTTTGGTTGCTCCACATCTGTAAGAAATGCCAACTTCTTAAAAATGAAGCTATAGATGGGAAACAGTTGATCTCTAATGTATTTTAAATAAACATTACCAAAATCCTTAAATTCAAAAATGATTTGAATGACATACCCATTTCACATGGGTGCCTGTATTCTATAAAATGTAAAAATATGAACAGTTCTGAGCTAGAAGACTGGGGACATCACTGCTATGTCTACATTTTTTTCTAGTATTATGAAGTTTTCAAACACGTACTAACCCCTTGTGTAGTGCTGCCGTGATATTCCATGCATGCTGCAGTGTATCTTTGTTGTTCTGGTAAAATTCTGGTAAACACTGTAGCAGAGGTTCAATGCTCTTGTCTTTAAAATGCAGATAACCAGTTTTGTTAACATAATTCTCAGACAATCTCTATTCTACTTTTCTATAATTATTTGTTTTGAAGTGGTTCTCTACGTATCATCCAATAGCCTCATACAACATTAATATCAAAGTACATAGACACAATTTCCTGTTTTTTTTTTTTCTAATAACAGCTGTGCTAATATAAAAAATAATACCTGGTAAAAAACTGGCTTATGGTTTGTATTTTTCAATAGGAAAGGCATGACATTTCATTTATTAGCCCAAAATTAGCTGAACTTGCAATAAACCTATTTTATGCTTGTAGTTATGATGCTACATTCCTGTGACTTAATTAAACTGGAAATTATTTATTTAGAAATTTGGTCTTTAATTGTTTGTTTTTTTTGAGAAATTGATTTATTTATACGAATATTGCTTAGTTAAAATAATAGTATCAAGGTAATATGTAATAAATAAAATCTAATAAAATCTTAAATGTATTGATTTATCAACAGGTATACTTAACTTTTTTATATATATGTTAAGAATAACAAACAAAATTAAAATTTCAGCCAGAAACATTGAACAGGAAAGCTTGAGTTTTTGGACGGATTTTGAGTACAGCATTACGGGATATTAGTAGAAAATGGCTGCATTCAACAAGAGTAGTGATGACTGTTACTTTTACTTTTATTCAACATGTACAAAGGTAAGCTTAAAGTTTATTTTTTTGTTTTTCTAATATAAAGAAATTCAATGATTTGCTGCTTTTGAATATCATTGATGATTATCAATACTTTTTTTTAGAATGTATTGGAAAACAAAGATAAATCAAAGCTCTTTATGTGTTGTCTTTGTTGATAGCTTTGGAATTGTAAAATCATAGAATACTAAAGGGTTCATTGTGACACTTGATGAACTTAGCATTTTAATTTTACAGTCATAATTGTACTTGGTGCTTAACCTTACATGCATGGGTCAATCCATTGGACTGAGCCAGTATTGGAGATTTTTTGTTACTATAATTCTGAACTTACTTGTCATACCTTCTTAAAATGTGGGAAGCCTTTAGGCACTTGGCTAGGTGATCCCACACTATGTCTTTACTTTAGGCTTATTATACCAACACTCACTATACTTATAAGGTTTAATGGCACCCTTCCACCCTCGTCACTAAAATCCTAATGGGCAAACAGTAATTGAATTATTCTATCTGGATAAATGCATTTGGGCTTTTATGACTCCTTCTGTTTTGAGAAATCAAGATAAATCAAGTGGCTTTTATATGGGTTAGATTTATAAGATATGTAAAAAAGTAAATATCAGGTTATGACAAATTAATGAATACAGTTTTTTATTGTTTGGATTGAACATTTGGTCATTTTGAAATTCTCTAGGTGAGGTGTAATTCCAAGACTCACCTATAAGCAGAGGGTAGACTGACTTTGAGGCCTAAAAATTAATTTAAAATTAATAAATTATTCGACCAGTTTTTGCCTGTTAAAAATCTAAGTAGCCAGTTGACTTATCTGCCATCCCTTCACGAAATAATCAATAAAGACACAATTACAGTTAATTTTAAGAATAATAATGTTGTTATCAGCAGTCTCAAATTTGCTAATGGTAAAAAAAAAGTAAATATTGACCATTTGCTAGCACCTTCAAAAGTTAAGGTCAAGACCTGATTGTGTGTTGTAGCAGGCAAAAAAGTGCTCAATATGATGCATTGTTGCACCCACACCAATACTGGATAGTATATGATCAAGTTGATAATTTGATGCTTAAAGATAATAAGCAGAGGATTTTGAATTGCCTTACTTTTACTTTGAGCTGGTAATAAGAATAGCATTTTTTAAGTTTTATATTTGTATGTGTGTGGCTATTGATATGTTGTGTTTAAAATTTCCATAATATTTTTCTTAAGACTATAAATATTTTCTTTCTTAGACCAGTTTGATGTACTTGATTGGCCAGAATCTCATGTTGTGGCTAACTGTCTCTTAGTCTGTCTTTGTTTTCTTCTGTTTGTGGACACAAGTTTCTCTTTTATGGTGTTTAGTGGTCTTGTTTATATTATAAATATTGAAGTTTTCACATGTAATTTGAGAAATCTCTCATGCTTTATTAATTGTGTAATTTTTTTAATTCCTGTGTTTGTAAAACTGGTACGTAATTGAAGGACCGTTCAGGGAAGAGGAAACCCTAATTCTTTTACTATATATATATATCACTTACAGATAAACAACTCTCAGTGCCAGATATATTTTTAGGTACACAGTAATAAACAGACAAGTGTTTTAATATTTTGGTACTTACATAAAACTGTAAAATTTGTGTTGTTTGAAGAGAAATACCTTCAGTTCTAGACTACATGTGGTTAATATCATACTTTTCAAGGCTAAAACAAAGGTTGTATATTGTTTCCCATATATTTGTCTATGGCAGCGAATGAGTTCTCTCATTATCAAGCATGTATCCTTGATAGATCGTGTTATAAATGGAGAACTATAAATTTTAGCTTTAAATTGCCCAAAAATTGGTATTGTAAAGTTTAAGTATTATTTTTAACTCACACATAAGTCATCTTGCGTCCCTCCAGATAGCATTACTGTTTTATCTGGTTAGTCTTCTTTTGGCATGCACACTACTGAAATGTGTTTCAGGATGGTCTCTGAGAAAGACTAGCAAGGTTTAACATGCGAGATTTTATATAGTGATTCTTTATTAATGAAGTCTTTAATCAATTGGCTCATTGTGTACTATTTTATTCAATGTAGTTATAATATTATTATTTCTATACTAAGGGAGAAGATTGCCCATTTCGCCACTGTGAAGCAGCTCTTGGCACTGAAACTGTTTGTAGTTTGTGGAAAGAAGGAAAATGTTTTCGTCAGTTGTGCAAGTATCGCCACATGGAAAGCAGGGTAAATTTTTTCTGTTATTAATATTACCTAAACTATATATATATGTTTTAATAATTTGTGATAAATAAGACAGGAGACTAAGCTTGGCTTGCTATGGTGGTAGGCCAGTTCTATATGAAGAGATAACTTATTCCAGAAATAATTTTCCATAACAGCAGATGCTACACAAAATATTTTTGTGTAACCATTAGAAAAATTTGCTACGATATTGCCCAGCTTATGGCTATCAAGTGTCTTGGTATGTGCCATCTAGAAAAAATGCCTAAAATTGGTTGAATCTTGAGAAAACATTCAAAAGAATAATTATTTACTGTAAAACAAATATATTAGTACTATAATTGGTAGGTAGTTACAGGTATTAGTAGGTAGTGACTATACTTACAGGTATTTAAACCTTTTCCTACTTTCTGTTTTGCATTTCATATGAGAAATACTGATATTTGGTATACATACTTTCATGATTTAAGCTTGCATTCTAACATAGTTGCCACCACTAAAATGATATTTATACATGTGAAGAACTTAATCGATATTTGGTATACATACTTTCGTGATTTAAGCTTACATTCTAACATAGTTGCCACCAGTAAAATTATATTTATACATGTGAAGAACTTAATCAATATTTGGTATACATACTTTCATGATTTAAGCTTACATTCTAACATAGTTGCCACCACCAGTAAAATGATATTTATACATGTGAAGAACTTAATCAAAAACTTGGTATGAAAGAAGAGATGTTTATTTCAATTTTGGATATAAAATATTTACCATAATAAGAAATGTTTTGTAGTTCATACTACACAACGATAAGATTAAATCATAAATAAGTGGATTGTAAGGTATGATACATATACTTCCTGTAGGTGTGTGTATAGTCATTTATGTAATGAAAACTCCATGAAAGTTCATGATTAACAAGTAGACATCAACTTCAAGTTTTAAGTTTAATAAGTTATCTGCTATCCTTGACCTGTCCCTTTTGTGTCGTATACAATGATACCTCCTGTCATGAACGAATCATTATTTCTAGGATTCTTGCAGATTTGACACATTTAATGCATCAGTTTAAGCATGTACAAGTATATATATATATATCATTAAGTCTTTTCACATTATCAGATAACTTGTAATACAGGGTGTTCGAAAACTCTGGATTAATTCCTCTATCTCATAATTAGTAACGTATATGAAAGTAAGAAACAGCTGCAAATCACCTATGGTTCCAGACTTTTTGTACACCCTGTAGATTGTCTACTGTGGTAGATACTGTCATATTTAAGGCATATTCATGGTATTGCTAAGAAGGACAAATGCTTTACTACTCGAGAAATTTTCAAATTGAAAAACTTAGTAATTATGCAAGTATAATTGTTTTATGTAAACTTATTGATGTTAAAGAAAATACAAAATGAACATAAGTAACTTTTTTAAATATGTTAATAAGACATAGTGATGTAGTTCAGTCTCTCTCCTCTCTCTCTCTATTTATATACACTCACACACACATACAGTATATAAAGTTTGGAGATGGCTTGAATAAATAAGCAGAGAAAGAAATTTTATTATTAATATACAATTTAAAACAAGCTTATGTTATCATAAGGTATAAGTGGGTTCCTCGTCATCAAATAATTACAGTACCTTACGACTTGTTTTATTAAGTATGAACCTTGAATGTTAAGTTTGTTAGTGTACTTAAAGTTCTGTAATTTTCAAAAAGTAAACTCCTGTTGACATTTTATTTACAGAAAAATCGTTCCCAGATACCTTGCTACTGGGAGAACCAACCTGGTGGATGTAGGAAGATTCATTGTGTATTCATGCATCAAAAAGCTCGGGCAGACGTTTCTGTTGAAGGAAGTGAGTGAAACATTCAGTTACTCTGTAGATATATTAAACTACAATTAACAATAAACTCAGCTGTAACTTAACAAAAAATGTTTTGATACACTATAAAGCTGAGAAAGATCAAACACTCTCTCTCTCTTGATTACAAGGTAAACAAATTACGATGTGAAAATTGAAGCCAGGTAGTCTTTCACATGTAGGGATGGAAAACAATCTTACATAGCTAAAGATGTCAGTCTTATCAAGTTTCATTTATGCCATCCTGTTTTCCTTGTTCTTCACATTTTTGTTACGTCTCCATATATTTCCTACTAATCTTGCTTTGTTGGAATGTTAAATTCAATGATGTTTTTTTCTTCTTAGCAGTCATGCAGCTTTATTTCTCAAAAGAATTGGCTACTATCAAAAGCTATTGTCAGACTTGGTCCTTATTACCCTGTCTTCTGTACTAGTAAAGGTCAAACAGTTTGAAAGATCTAATGTCATTGATTTGAAACATACCACTGGTTCAAGAAAGAGGAATGGTTTTATTTTTATTTCATTTAAACTTCAATCAAAGTACTTAATATTAGTAAATTAATTGTGTCTGTTTTAGGATTACTGGAATGTATTATTGAATAATTGGAATTATAGAACTAAGAATATTTTCGATGGACCCTAAATTTTCATTTGGCTACCAAATTATAAGCCCGGCATGGCCAGGTGGTTAGGGCGCTTGATTCGCAATCTGAGGGTCGCGGGTTTGAATCCCCGTCACACCAAACATGCTCGCCCTTTCAGCCGTGGGGGCGTTATAATGTGACGGTCAATCCCACTATTCGTTGGTAAAAGAGTAGCCCAAGAGTTGGAGGTGGGTGGTGATGACTAGTTGCCTTCCCTCTAGTCTTACACTGCTAAATTAGGGATGGCTAGCGCAGATAGCCCTCGTGTAGCTTTGCGCGAAATTCAAAACAAATAAACAAACCATTGTGTAGCTTTGTCCTTAAAACACATCAATCAACCAACTTTTTGGATACCTTACAAGTCGCTAATGGAGGGTAGTTTAGTCTGTTCATTTGGATGTTTATAACGTTGTCCACCAGGTTGGACGGAGGATAAGAATACCTGCGTAAATATTGTTTATAAAAATCAAGTTCACTGCAATTCGGGTTGGGGGGGGGTCTCACGTTCCTCTCAATTTGTCCATTGAAACAGTGACTGATGGGTGACAGAAGATAGATCTGAAATGCTATTTTTACACACCGCTGATTTTGAGCTGCAATGAACAAATTAAGAAGAATGTGGTAAAAAGAAATAGAAAAAATAACATCTACAGTGAACCTGATTCTTATAACAATTTTCAGGCCTAGTTGTTTCCACCAGTTCCCCTGATTTCGGCGTTTAAACCGTAACTTATAATTATTATCTGATTTTAAACAATTCTTAATTCTCTGTTGTTAATGATACTGTATGGATATTTTTATTGAGTTTTCTTTAAATGTAGATGGTGTCTAACTGGCCAAATGAGACCCATGAGGTTGGCTTATACTGTACAAGTTGACAAAATTATTATCGCTAGTGGTCTAGAAAGAGATTTTGTTATTCTCCTGGTACTATACCGTTTAGTTAAAATGTTAAGCCTATAAAATGTTAAACCTACAAAATATTAAGCCTATAAAATGTTAACCCAACAAAATGAGAGCTCCATGAGTTTAACCAAATGTATAAAAGGTAAAGTGAAAATAAAGTCATCCCTCTCTCTTCTTGAATTATCTAGAAACCTTTGTCTTCGTTTGGATTACTGAAGACTATTTCGTGCTAACTTTAAATTGAAGACATTGAAGATAAATGTGAACAGTCATCGTAAAGATGGCAAAGGACCCTGAATGATAACTGATACGTAGAGGAAAATTATTTGTGTATATTAGCACCACTGTAACTCTCTCTGGCACACTGCCCCCGTTCATGTAGTGAAACATTCAGGTCACTCCGTAAGAACGTAAATCAAGTCAGAAGTCACATGTGTTTTACCCTACCATATAGTCGACGGAGCTTTTGTTTTCAGGACACGTTAGATGTGTGTGGAACCGTACTTGATCGAATTCTATATTCGGTGTTCCTCTCCTGTCTACTGTACGTTATTTTGTCATCTGGCTCAGCACTTTTTTGACATTCCACGCAATTAAAATTCCTAAAGGCGTTCATATGTTCGCTACTGCTCTCACCTTGCCTCGTGGCGTCATCCCAGCCCACACCAGTGTATTTCCTCATTATTGTTTTCTTATTTCTGTTCAGAATTTATTTTATATTATTATTAAAACGACAAACACATTCATCGAAAGAAAAAAAAACTGTGTGTGATTCTTCCAGAAGAAACACGCCAACACTGGGCCCATCAAAGAGATTTCGGGGGCCCTGGTGCCTCCCCCTCCCCCCAGCACCTCACATATACCTTCAATTGTTGCAAAATGAGGGGACAATTTTTTTCTCCTTCAAAGTTTAATTTTCTACATTTACCCCTACTCTTTTTACGTTTGCCCCTTTCCCATCCCACCATCACCACTAACCTCATCTTCAACCCCTTTTACCATAACTAACCTTTTTGTCTCTCTCTCTCCCTTTCTTTTCTTTTTCTTTTCCGTTTCTTTTTTCTTCCTTCTTTTCTCTGCCACTCCCCTGGTCCCGGGCCCTAGTGTTTTTGCACCAGGAGCCTCCCCCCCCCATCTCTGACGGGCCATGCACCAACAAAATAATATAATTAAGAATTCCACCTGGTGGATTTTTTCCGCTGCATTAACATATTTCAATTTAGCTTAAAACGCATCCGCTCTCCCTTTGGGGGAGCGGTAAGTCTACGAACTTACAACGCTAAAATTCGGGGTTTGATTCCCTGCGGTGGACACAGCAGATAGCCCAATAAGATTGAGGATAGATATGATGACATTCGTAATATTTTCATTTCTTATAGTAATTTTATGTTCCATCTTTTTGTCGTAATTTACATATTATATGCAAATGATTAACATTGTTTTCTTTCATTGCCACAAAAACTTTGACAGGCGATATATTTATTATAGAGGGCAACACGCCATTACCTTCGAAATGAGGCATCCTTTTGAGTGACTATAAAAATCTAAAGACTTAGGGACCTTTCACAAATTAAAAAGCAACAAGTTATAAATTAATGCATTTCAAACTAAGAGCAACAACTATTGCAATGCGTTCTTTATGTGTATATTGAAATATCTGAATGCAGTAGTAAAGAGAAACGTTTTAATCCAGTGTTTCCCAAAGTGGGAGCCGAGGTCCCCCTTGGGGGCCGCCATAAATTACCCGAAAACAAAGGTGCTGAATTGATTTTAATTCTAAATAAACAATAAGTTGATAAAAATTATGTTGAATTAATTAAATGATACAGTATGTTGAAAGTAGATGTTATTGTTTTTACTACGGCACTGTTTTTCAACCACCATGCTAAAGTTATAGGTTTAGGGGCCTCAAACTTTTTTATTTAAAGCAAGGGAGCCTCAGACTAAAAGAGTTTGGGAACCACTGCTTTAATCAATGGTACTTGTAGGGTAAGTATGCCTGCCTGACAAATGTTCGCAGACCAAATAAAATTGTATTGTTGATCGGGCGTGCCCTAATG